TAATGAATATTAATATCTGAATAAAAACTGAAGCAAGACCTTCCTCTTCCAAAAAAAAAAAAAAAAAAAAAAAAAAATTATAATAATCTTTTATTAAATCGAATTGACTTGCTTTTGAACCTAAATTAACATTAATATGTATAAGTTTCATATAATGAAAACATATTGCAGTACTATTTTCATATAGTTTACCTCTGCTATAATTATATTTATCAAAATTCACATCTTGAATGTGTGAAGCATGAAGGCAATACTGATAAAATGTAAAACGTGGACCTCCTAGACCTAATAACTCTTGAAGAGTAATTCTAACATGATAACCTCACTGAATAGGTATTTCTTCTTCAAAAATCATACTAATGAAATCATATCATCGCAACTCTTTCTGATGATCCCTAAAACCAAAATGATGATAAAAAGAAAAAACTTTTATAAATATAATAATACTTTATTTTCTAACATAATATATACGAGTGAGACTGGAAAAACCGGAAGTTCAATAAAATGTATTATTTCATTGAAGAGTAAGCTACGAGCCGTTCATAGATTATTGGCGCTTTTATATATTGTATATATTATATATTTTGTATATATTTTATATACTTTAGCGTTAGAAATAAGCTCTGTGGATATAAAAGTTAAAGAAAATACTTAGATAGAGTCGAGTATAATACCACTTCTTATACTTTTCAAGTTTATTTTGGATATCCTTACTCTCACTTCTATACTTTTAGTCAGTCTTGGGAACAGTTTCGACCATTTAGTGAACTTGGAGTATTTTTTGTACGAAAAGTGGAGAATGGAGCTCACCCTCTACCAAAGATTGGCATGTATATTATTGACGAATTTGGAAGTAAGCTTATAGTGTGATAACAACAAACATGTAAATGTTTTGGAGTTAGCACAACAAATACGTGATTTTATTTTGCAATGTAAACCACGAGTTTACTGTAATAATAATGAGCTATCATATGTTTAATAAAATAACTGAATTATTATCGAATATTAGAGATATTTATAAATAAGTGCATTTTGCATTTATAATTTTTAACTACCTAGTCTTGGACAGGATTATATGTTTAGGTTATGATTCTTA